GTGGTTATTTTTTAATGTGGTTACAATTGTTGCTAAATAATCCAATGGCAATTGTTACTAGTAATTGTAACAACATTAGTTCCATGTAACTAATATGATTTCCCTACTTTGAGGATGTGTGTTACTACAATGATACTGTAAAACATGAACGAACTAGGGAGTACTGTTCAAGTTGAACCATCAGGACATCCCCTAAGTATAATGCAAAATCCATGTACTGGGGTCAGCTGTGTTTTGAGTGCACCACCCAGAGTATCACATGAGACCACGTAAACAGCTGTTGGAATTCCCTGCTAGTCTTGGCAGATACTTAACTTTGTTAGAAGCTTCTACCTTTAGAATTATTTATTGTTCAGCTATTACAAGTTCTTGAAAGTTTCAGGTGACAACGCTAAAGGTTCTGGCAGGACCAGCTATTTCATTAACCAGTATTTTACCCTCATCATACTGGTGTTTAAAGCACTAATTATAGTATTCAGCTCTGCAGTAACAGTGTAGATAGCAGAAGGTCACACATTATAACAACTGTGAATTTTCAGTTGTTAGCCATTTGTTTACCCATTAAATATAAATCAGCAGAATACTAGGTGCACTAACCACTAGATTTACCTCTCTAAGGATAAGGCTTCTGTATATCTTTCTGCTCGGAGACATTGCCTGCAAAGAAGGGTTTGCCCATCTATTTGGAGTCTAGTCCCAAGTTAAAGCAGGGGGAGAGGGGCAGACACATGAAATGGTCTTTAGGCACTTGCAGAAACTCTGCAATACACATAATAGTAGGTCTGACACAATCTGGATGCACTGAGTCTGCACAAGCCATCTGTGCAGCCCATATGCAAGAGAAACCCCAAACAGAAATAATTGAGTATGTATTTAGAGGGAAAGACTTATGTTCAAGCAGATTTGCACTTGACATGACACTCAGACACTGGCATTTAAAAGAAAATTGTAGTAGAAACAAAACTCTCTTCACACATAGTTTGTTCACATCAGCTTTTGAAAGTCTTCTTGTGAAGGAGTAACTTTAAAATATAAATGCAGAGAATCCATATCTATCTTGGGCACTCTCTTCAAACATCTACAGTTCTTAAAGCAGACCACTTTCTACAGAAAGACGCTGAGCTGTAGAGTTACAAACCAAGCCAATAACAGAGTGGAAAGTAAATACCCACATACAAATTCTGCAATGTGCTGGTCAGACCACTTTATCACTGTACAGTAACTAAGTTAACTGGCAGAATCCAAGAACGAAGACAAAAGGTATACATTCTATAATCACTTTTATCTATCTCTAACAGGTACAGTTACAAGGAATGGCCAATACCATGGTACTTGAACAAAAAATACAAGAAGAGGAAATTCTATTACTTACCTCATGTGAATCGCTTCATCAGGTAAAAAGTTCTTTGACACTGAAAATTTTCTGTTCTGTTCTTCAGTCCTCCTTATTCCACTTGGCAAGGGAAAAATAGTAATAATCCTGTTTCATGGTTTGTTGTGTTTTGTTGTTTTTTTTTAAAGCTAGCAGACTGAAAATAAGGCTTTTTAAAATTACAGCTTGCTCTGTTTCTTTTTGCTGTTCCCATCTTAGTTATTAAGGGATTTAGTTATCTATGAAGTTGCACTGTAAAAGTAATTTTACATGCAGAGTACCTAAGATCCTCCCAGAGGTTGAATTTCTGTAGAATTCAAAAGCAGAAGAAAAAAAATAGTTTGCTTTACAGGCATTTTTGCTTATCGCAAGCAACTTAATACTGAAGTTGTTAATTGCTGGGAGCCTCTATTTGATTAGGGGGCTGAGCTCATTAAGGATGTTCTGAACTTATCTAGAAATTAACCACACGGACTTCTTTATTTCAGGCTCAGACTTGAAAAATCTTTATGTATAAAGGCAAGAAGACAAAACCTAGAGAGAACGAGGCAAAAGGTCTTGGAAAGAAAGTTCCCTCACCTTGCTGTAATATCTCAGAGCCAGTAACATCCCGGAAGAGTGCTGCAAGCAATTGGTTGAGTATCTCTGTGACTAGAACATGAAAAAAGTTCTGAAACCAGCGAACAACTTGACTGAGCATTCCTGAGAGTCTCCACGGTGGTTTTTTTTTTTAATCCCATGTTTGACCTAAATTAAACTTGTGATCTGGAATTAAAAAGCAGCTTTGGTGCCTAACTCAAATTAATCCTAACAGTTGTTTCTAGAAACACTTGAAAAATGATGTATTAGCCAGTTATTATAATAAGTGAGACATACATCATTAACAGTGAAAAGCAGTAAGTGACTACCAGATCAAAGTATAAGAAGTGTAGGGATAATATTTACCTGGTTTAGTTTAACAAGTATGTATTAAAACCAGACAGAAACATGATAGCCTCTGAAGCTCACATAGGAGCTTTTGTTCCCTGATCATCTGAGTTACTGGTATGTGCTTTCTACATAAAAGCATGGGAAAATACAGTTTTCAGTCTGCTGTAAGGAACTTTTTCCTTGCTTTAAGTTGGCTTGTTAGAAATTATGAAATATTTAGCATGTGAACTTTTAACAATGCAGTCTTTCTACCTACATTTCTAGATACCTATGACAAATGCAAACATTTGTGCAATGCTTTTTTGCAGTATGCAAAGTGTAGGAAGACTGGTAATAGTCTGTGAAACTGAAGTAGAAAGTTACTGCTCTCAGCTGATGGTAAATACTTCATGAAAGGTTTTAGCCTTCAGATGAGGCTAAGTAGAACAAAGTCACAAATACTAGTCTTTCAGGAAGCAAGTGTGCTATGCAACATAATCTGATAAACCAGGGGACATTCCAGACTCTACTTGAATGCAAACTAGACTTTTTCTTCCGGTATGACAGTAGCTGGCAACTTCTGCCACCCATTGTAGCTGACTACATTTTGCCTCATTTTGGCACAGAAATGTGGTTTGTCAATAGTTTTGAAAATCTAGAGTAAGCAACTTTGTCTCAAAAGCAAACTAGTGGTTATCATGATAAGACACAAGCAGGCTGTTTTGATAAATTACTTTATTGTGTGGAGGTAATGTGAAACTGCTTTCAACTAGAGGCCTCATCATTATTTATCCACAAGGTCTTTTAGGGTATGAAAAAAGTAGCAGTACTGTTTACATTTTTTTAAAAAAATCAGTCAAATGCTATTTGGTTTTCCCCAGCTTTTAAAATAAGGAGCAAAACTTCATTGTGTCCCAATACAGAACATCACAGAGTTGTACATTAAAAGTAAGCTTAACTACAACATAGAGCTGCATCTTCACAGCCAGTTCCTGCTGAAAAAATAATCATCCTACTTCCTGTGACCCTGAGCACACACTCCCATACAAAATGTAGGCACTTCTCAACCCTGCTATGAGTCAAGTGAGGGAGGTAAACCAGCAGCAAACAAGTAGTGACTGCCCCTTCAAGTTACAGCTCCCTGTAAACATGTCAAGCCACATCCTGAGGGTCTTCTATGACTATTCTCTTGCAGAGACAATTTTTTGCCTTAACTTCCCTGGCTCAAACAAGTTTTGCTTCTCGCCTGTATCACAAAGGCATTATATACATTCTTAGAAATCAGGTGGAAAGCACTGATTGTTTACTGAAATGAAATTGCTCCGTAATAGAAAATTAGAAAACCAGTGCTTAATAGAACATTCACTTCATGGAATGCAACACTTTTTCATTAGAGAGTAAAAGTTTACACTGAACTGAGTCACCTATAGTAGATCACTAAATACAAACTTTCCATTTTTAAAACAGAAGATTGACTTTCTCTCCAGGTACTCACAAAGTTGTTCAAATATAAAAGACCAAATTTTATTTTTTAAGAGAGAAGTAAGAGCAATTTAAGGCCAAAGTACCAGCAAGGAAGACTAATATATGAAAGTAGACAAGAGATTTTTTAATAAATTTGCATGGGCATTTGCAAGGTTATACCTCTATCTATTAGCTAACCTGTAAAGCTGTTCCCAGGAAAAGATACTAGAGAAAATAGACATTTATACAAAATTATAAAATGCTTGTTACATGAATTATTGCTTTACAAGGGATGTAAACATCCTTTTTCTATGATAGTACCAATTAGGTCTCTCAAAATTTCTAAGGTTTGTTAAAATGGAACTTGAATTATGCAAAAGATCCAATATAAACTTTCTACAAAAAAGAGTCCATCCCATTCCTGAGTATGCTAAAGCTATAAAACAGAAGGAGCACTGAGCAGGCAGCAGTTTTCACAGTAAGAGGCTTAAGGACATTTTCTTTCTACACACTGTTTCCCTCCTTCTTCATACTCTTGTTTAGAAATCCACATCTGTTGAAAAGTACCCTACAAAAATAACAAAAAAACCAAAACAACAAAACACACAATAAAAAAATAAATCAGAAGACAAATGAAGGGTAAGTGAAACACGATTAGCTTTTCTTAGGAAGAAAACCAAGCAAGTCATTACATTAAATGAAGTAATGTAACGGCCTGCTTAACTACCTTTTCCTTTGAGTTTTATATTGCTAGCGATTAAACTAAAGGCAAGAAGTAGCAGTACTGAAGGCTGATGTCAGTCTCCCTTTCCCACACTGCCAAATGAATCCCCACAATCCATTTCAGTACTCAGTAACTTGTAGAATTAAGCTCAGAAATATGATGCAGAAACAGGTTTGCTACTTTCATGGTATACAACCTACATGTAATTTCTAGATATCATATTTCAAGCCTGCACCTTGCCATTGAAAACAGGAGAATGTGGCAAGTTATTTTTTGATTGGAAAAGCTCATCTTGTCTTGTTTTTTAAATAGATTCCCTTCACCTTACCACAAGGATAGAAAAGATTAGGATTGCTACGGTAGCACAAACTCTGCAATACACACATACATGGAATTACATTTTTGGGTGACAGCACTGCTTAGCATGGGAACATAGTAACACAGGTTTACTAACCAAAGAAGCCAAAATCGAACCACCAATCCATGAGCTGAACCTCCGCTCCACTGTTGTGTTGTTCGCTATCAACTTCAGGCGCATGCTCTGAATAGAAAATGAGGTAAAATGAAAGAACACTCAGACAAATTGTAGGCTGGTGACTTGTAGGGACAAGAGAAGGACAGTACAAGAAACTTGGTGTACATACCAACAAGCAGGTGAAAAAGGTCAATTTTATTTAACTTGCAATAATGCTCATCTGCCTTGTAGTTAGAATTCAATAACAGCCATAATGGAACAGAACACTCGTGGCTTTTATCTGGCCTCCCAACAGGGCGCAGCAGCAACTGCTTAAGGCTAGAAATAGGGCAGGTAGGGAGCAATACTACTCACAGTACATATTGTCATCTCCAACACTGGGCTATTTAAAATGTGCACTGAGACTAAAATGTCAGCTTCGCTGAACGCAATTCATCTAGTCCTTTTTGGACCCATTCATTCCTTTTACTTTCAAAATGTCTTGTAGCAATAAAATCTGAATTTCAATGGGTTCCTCCTCAGCTATTACAAGAAGCAGTGAACAACTATCTTGCTCAGTTTCTCCTAACATTCATGATTTCAGAGTTGCTACAAGCAGAACATTTTTTTTCTTGAGTATGAATATTCAAGAAATATCATAAGCTACATGTGCTCTCAAGAGCACAGGTGTAATTTATTAATACATTAATGGCGAATTAGAATATTCAGAAAGCATTTATAATATCTGCTGGAAGTCATCTCATATAAGAACTTTTCAAGACTTATTTCTTTAGAAAAGGACAAGATTTCTTACCCCACAGAAATCTCTTCAGCTGTTCGGTTCCTAACAAAGTCAAAGCTATGACACATGCTTGTCCATTTATGCGGCAGAAAAGCAAAATTATATGTAACTCAGCACAGTAATTTAAAGAGTTGTTTTACCGGTGGAGTTTTCTGAGACAGCTCTCTGTTCAATCTGTCTGTGAAACTCTGTATTAGAGTGTTTCCTCCTGCTACAATCACACTACCATAGAGACCCTAAAAAGAGAATAAGAAACCTACAATACTAACTCTGAAATCATTCTGAAAACAACTGTTTCACAGCATAGAGGAAGGGCACACAAATAAATACAATCAACAGCAATAATGCATCACTTCACACCAACAGTATTACCTCTCCCAATCCAATAAATTTTTTAACTGCTTGAAAAATATTTCAAGACAACTTAATATTAAACTATACAAGGAAGACAGACGCCATGTGATTAATGATTCTAAATATTTTCACACAATATTTTCTACTATAGAGAACCCTACACCTACAGATGCCTCCTGTATCTGAACTGTTGGTTTCCTTACAGCTGGATGTTCCAACCACAAAGGAAAACCCCACAGCACTGCAACAGTTTACAGTCTCAGTCACACTGCAGCTGGCGAAGACAAATCATGCCTGGCCTACTCAGCCAGCCTGACAACGCCAGTTAAGAGGAAAAATTTTTGAAACAACCCCCATGCAGTCCATATCAAAGCTGAGTATTTTCAAAATGACACTTGAGAAACTTAGAATATAGTTTTAAAACCAAATTTTTCCTTTAAAACCTCTTTTCTTCCTTCTACTCTCTGCAAAAGTTCCGTATGATTGTTTATGTCTAGAAAGTATATCTGCCATGCCCCAAAACCTGAAGACAACAGTCAAAAAGTTATGAACATAAAATGCTCATCTGAAGCCACTCCAATGTACATTATGCAGTGACAGCCACAAAATCTGGACATTAGCTATTTAAATATAGGTATAAACACCGAGTAAAAAAACCTTCCTGATTTAGCGTTTTTAAGACAAAACAGTAATTGTGCATATTTCTATATACAAATACGTAAGACTTAGAGATTTTAATGTGTTTATCATTATCCTAGGAAATCCACATTTCTTCATCAACAACGTTCTAGTTCCCCAAAAATTCTTTCCGCACAAAAAGAGCTATGCCTTAAAATAATACACATCTGACTAACACTTACCGGCCTGATGTCTATATCACACATTCCAACACTTGTTGTGACAACGTGGCTCACACCCAACATCGTGTTACCAGATAAACCCTAGAATTAAAATTAGTAATCTACACATCATCACTTCAAAAGAGCAAGACATGAGCCCTAGATGAGTTGAATTTACAAGTATTACTAGAGAGGGAGCTTAAGCATTTTAGGGAAAATCCTATTTTCCCATTGAGCTCATCACCACCCATTTTGAATTACATTTCATCCTTCACTTGCCCAACCCTAATACAACACAGGCAAATTCTACACCCAAGAGACCCACCCATTGTAAACACACACATACAAATCATGAAATTAAGAACATCATACAAAAGGAAGCCATGTGATAATCTAGTAGTTTAAAGCCTTCCAACTACTCCATATCATAGTTGTTTTACCTTTACATTAGAAGGGTCAAACAATCCCTCAGGAATTTTTAGACGCTCAGCACCGAAGTCACAGTTATAGCCATTGGGGAACTCATAATGAACTGTTGGCATCTGTGCTGCTACCCTGGAGCATCAGTCAGAAAGCAACATATCAAAGTGCTATGGAAACAGGATGTTATCTAAGTAACATTATAAACTGAGGTTTCAACAGGAATATTGTGACTGATCTGACTTACACTTTCGATAACATTTATTATGATCACATACATCTTGTAATATTAAATAAAAAATCACCACCTGGATGTACACTGTATTTCTACTTTCAGAAATAGTTTTTATCTAAAAATTTCTTCTGTAATAAAACCAGCCAACAGCAATGAACAGGCTAAGCACCCCATGCACAACTGATAATTAATTTTACAAGAAGGAAAACAGGAACGTACTGTTCATCATAGGTTGAATCTGATACTTGGAGGACAGAAGCTTGGAAGTCCTGAATGACACACTATGGAGTTAAGAATAATATGGTTATAAGAATTTCAGTCTTGAATTCTATAGAATGTATAGAATTAATACCAACTTTTTAAAGATTTTCTAGTTCTCCAAGGGGAAAACCTGATCTACTTGCAAACAAAACTTCTTTATGGGACACCTAGGGGAGTTTGAGAGTGGGAGAAATGACCTACTTACATTACACATGTAGTTGTGCCAAGACCTAGTGACCTGGGGTAACTTCTCTTTTCTCTTCCAATTTGCTGGCGACCCCTCACGAACTGCCTCCTGATATTGTAGGAAACACGATCATCAGTTACCATTTCAGCCTCTCCTCAAGCAAACACTTACTAAACAAAGTTACATTCTCACCTTTGAGGCAATCATATAGGGAGGAATTATTTCTATGTTCATTTCCTGAAACAATTCCCGACACTGCATAGTAATAAAGTCTCCTGCAAGTGGTGATTTTACAATACCTAGAAGACAAAAGGGAACCAAAAAACAAACAAAAATAAAATCCCCACCAACCTGGAAAGTACCAAAATCACAAATAAACTCTACCAATAAATTATTTCAGTGAACACTCTTAGGGGTTTTTTTCCTTCATATTTAACAGGATACACAGATTTAAAAACAATGATAAAACTGTAAAAGCAGAAAGCAAGCTAGGTCGACCTTGATACTACAATGCTGTTACCCATGAAAATTTTTACCTTGCTGAAGTACATATCCATCATGCACTGGAATAGCAGTGGTGTGTGTTGCTCCACTATCCAAAATGAGACCTGTAGATCTTCCATTAGCAAAACTAGCCAAAACGATTACGGAAAATATTGTAATTTTCACTTTAGAAAAAAAAATAAAATTGCCGTACAATTAGAGCATAACTAGGAGTGAGCACCCTGATGTGTTAGTCCTTGTTATTAGTTTAAAATAATTACAAATATTAATCTGAAGGCTCTGGGAATTTCAAACTCTAATGTCTGTATTTAGTAGTCTGGACAACATTATTTCAGGTCCGTTATATTCTTACCCAATATACAATGGGAAAAAAATTAAAAAAGATTAAAAAAAAAAAAAAAGACGACATCGTCTCCAAGGAAAACAGTCAGATTGGGATAACTTAAAAACTGAGCTCTAAAGCTTTAAAGTTCAGAAACAGAATTTGTTTACTTCCTCCTTAGATGTTAATGGAAAAAATAATTTGAAAGGAGAAAAGTTATACATGCTGTTATACTAGGAATTGTCTAGAATAAGTTTACTGTAATTTCCTGGTGTGGGGCAAGGGGAAGCGGTGAAACATTCCAAAGGATACGCTGTTAGAACAGCAGTTTTACACAAGAAAAAAGCAGGGATGTTGTAGTGTTCAAACATCAATTCGGTCAGTTTTTCACGCTTTGCTCTAGTATTCCACTAGAAGAAAAAAAAAAAAAAACAAACCACAAATAAGTGACCAAAAAGGAAGATATGTTTATCTTGATGACCATTAGAGCATACTAAAAGAATGCTAACATCATAAAGAAGTAACTAGAATTATTATAGCTACGGTTTCAAATCATATCAAAATTCTAGAGAGACAGATTTCTAGTAATTTACTTCCTTAGAACCTTTTAAATTCCAATTCTACTACAATATACTAATGCTTATCTATCACACAGAATTAAGTGATACATACTTTTACTGTTACAACAGAGATTTCTTTACACTTCTACAGCTCTTCCGGTATCAGTCTCTCAAAGAACTCTCTAAAATAAGTAACATGCCCATTTTACAACGGAAAAGGAACATGAAATAACTTGCCCAGATGAAAGAAAAATGAATCTATATTTTCCTGTTTCTAAGGTATCTTCCTACAATTCTACTGTACTTGCGATTAAGCCAGGATATATATCAAATACTCTACACATTACTGAAAATGTGAAGTTTTTTCCAAGCAAATACATTAAAGTAAGATTAGTTCTGTAAGGACAATGTTAATGGGAACCTCTATTCAGACACCCACTGAGCCATCAAACATGAAATAACAATTGCAAATTCATCCATAGTCCACAAGCTACAATTCAACACAAGGGAATAATGGAAAAGAAAATCCTTTTCATAAGATTTTATAAAGGCATAACTTTTGTGTGGTATGCCTACTTTTTGTATTCTTACTTTAAGATCTGCCCTTCAAATGCTGAGCATTATTAAACGACAGAAACCTTGTCTACATATTTACCCAGAAATTTGTATTCATCCACTTACCTTACAGGGCCATTTACAGAAATGAAGACAGAAAAATTAAAACTTCTCCATTATAAATATTACTCTCTGTCACATAATATTAGTTGTAAGGCTGAATGATGTGAGAGATTTTCAATAGCATTTTATTAAGAGTAACTTAATACATAATAAGACATCCAAACATTTTTTTTCTATTTTTCCAAGCAGTAAAATGAGATTATTTTTTTTAATTTTTACTTCCTTTCAGTACATAAAAACCAATAGCACATTGTAAATACCAACAGAACTCATGCAAGCTATGTCGAATCATTTTCTTTTTCAGATGTTTTTCTTAAACAGATTACTTCACAGAACCCGGCAAAGTACTGTAGAATTGTTGTTTCTGTGGTTAAGTTTTAACACTCACAACCTACAAGCCAATGTCAGACTTGTCCAAGACTAATGCCTGTAGAGTGGGCAAGAAGATACAGTTAAGACTTAACAAAATGCAAAGCCGCGTTTACTCACTGGTGCTTCGGACATAAGGACAGGATGCAAACTTGCTTCAGATTTAATGTGCATCTTGTAAGTGTGATCCAAAATTGCCTGGAAACTATCCCAGTCTTCAACTGTAACAACATTGAAGCGAGCAGATTAGTTACTTCTAAGTTTTGTTCCATTTCACAAATATATGAAGGTTTTCCAATGCCTTATTTTGTGTAGAGCTCTTTAGTCAAAAGCTATCCTCAGCAGACATACGCCTCCTTTAATAGCTTTGCAGAATTCTCTTCCTATCTAATCATCATGATCATAACATTTAAAGAATTATGCTGAAAGTCCACTAACACTACACCAACTATACTTCATGCAATTTGTAAATCTGGTGTCCATTCCTATGGCTTCCATTGCCTTACATAGCAGCTGTTTACATGAAAGCTATGACTTTTTGCCACCTACCAATGCTATTTTAAAAACAGGTAGAAAAAGACAGAGCACCATACTCATTCCATTTTTTAAAGGTGAAATGGCCTCCATATTTTCCCTTGGAACTCTCAGGGCATTGGTGTCTATGTAGTAAGTCGGGCCCCCTTGTTTGCCTTTGTCACCATCTATCTCCATCAGAGTGCTGCCATTGTCCCTTTCTAGCACCACACCAATGGCTGTTGGAAAATCAACCTGTAAGGCAAAAGGTAAGCGGTATATGAGAATTACTAATGGTTTGGGTGGGTTTTTGCTCATAAATTCAGAGCTTTCCTTATACAATACAGTCAGAACAAACCCCAGCATATTCTGATAACTCGTAACTAACACACAAGACCTAAGGCATAAATACATGTTGCATTTCCATTGAGTCACACAGATTCTCACCTTTGGACAGTCCTCACCCGCATAGCCTGCTCTCACCGTATACGAGCCAATGTCAAAAACAAGAGCCCCAACTTCATCTGAAAAGATTATTAACAAAGAGATAGTGAATAATTATTACACTCTACTACAAACCTGACCTTTCACTACCCACCGTCTGTTGT